CAGTCTGATCCGACTGAAAAAGCCCCCGCGTAGGGGGTACCCATGGCCGCCAGGACCGAAGTCGCAGAGGCGTTGTCTTGAGCAGACTCGTCTTGCGAAGATGTACGTGGGTCATTGGTGGGCAGGCCAGCTTCCGCCAGGCAGTCGATGAGCCTGTTCATAACATCCACGGCTATGGCAGTGCTGTCGAAGTATCTTGGAAAGGTGACCACAGGCGCCAGGCCCAGGCCCGAATCTGGGTCGTCTCCCTTGACGCAAGCGACCAGAAACTCCAGCTCGCAGCCAAAGCTAACGTGGCGCTTGGTGAGTTCTTCCGGGCCCTTTGATTCCTCGGAGCTGCACTCACCCGTAGGCTTGATGGGCTCATCGCGGTCGGACGGGTTAAAAGACATGATGACTTGTGGGGAGTAGGTGATGGTCAGTGCAATTGCAAATGTTGATGCTATTGTTGCTGTTGATGATGCCGATGCGAACGGTGGTTCTGATGCGAATGATGATGCTGAAGATGCTGTTGTGAATGCCGATACTAAAGCTGATACTAATGCTGATGCTATTGCTGTCGCTGTTGCGAATGTTGATGCTGCTGTGCGTGCTGAGGTCTGGCTGAGATCTGAACCATATGCTTCGGGGCACGCCTAATATATGCCCACCATGTGTTTCAACTCCAGCAGGCAAAACTCACTCAAACTATTGTCCATGACCAAGTCGTCGTGCTCAGTCCGAGGGTCGTGTATCGACAACAAACCCTTTGTCGGGCACTTTCGGCAACGTCGAGCTCGCCTGTCCAGGGTCAGCGGCATGGACGCAAAGAACAAAACAAGCTCCTCGCACAAAGCAACCGGGAAGGACAGGAGGGTAAACTCAATTCATTCATGCGCGCATCGCAATGCGCCAAACAATCGGGGTACTGTACTGTGCTACGCGTCTGTTCCTAACCATGTCGCTGCAAAACCACCAATCCGTGCCCTGCTGCCATCGCCGCCGCGGGATATCCATTGCGTCCATCGTCCCATCAGCGTGTGTCTCTCCATATCGTCATCTGTCATTAGGCGCCATGTGAGGCGCGATCCGGTTCCGTCGGCCGGGGGGTGTCGGTGAAAGAAGCCGCCGGCTTGGGGGCCGCCGGGGGTGTAGTCGAGAAGCTCGATACAACGAAGCGAAGACCGGGCAGCGCCAAAGGCCACCCGCACCATTTTCGGGATCGTCGCAGCCTGGGAAGGCTTAGACGAGGTAGGCGACCATCATGGCGACAGCCGCGGCGCCAGCCATGGGGACGGCGGTGGGCGCGGCAAAGTTGTCGGAGCTGGTCGTGGCCGCGGTCGCGTCGGCGGCGTCAGCCGAAGCGGTGGTGCTAGGCTCGCCGGTCGAGTCGCTGCTGGCAGCAGAGGTGGCCGTGGTGGCGGCACTGCTAGTGTTGGAGCCAGAGCCAGTGTTGGCCTCGGCGGGATCCTGGAGCTTGTTCTCATCGCAGCTGGCCTCCCTGGCTTTGATGCACTCCTCCTGGCCGTCGCGATCGTTGGGGTGGGTCTCGATGCAGTTGTTGTAGACCCTGAGGCAGATTTGGCTGGGCATGGTGTTGGTGTAGTCCTGGAGAGCGGGCACCTGGCCGTCGCTGCACTTGCACTCGTAGACGAGGGTTTGCTGAGATGCTGTTAGCGCGATCTGAGGAAGGCAGGTTTGCTGCTTCAAAACGTACGTCATTGCAGTCGTTGGTCTCCCAGCTGTTGCGGCCGCCGCAGAGGTTCTCGCAGCCGTTGAGCTGGCCACGGCACATGTCGCCTGCGAAGAGGGTTAGTGATGGGCGCAGACCTCGGGGGCCATGCTGTACGTACGCTTGTCGTTGTCGCTGAGGGTGCTGAAGATGGGGCCAAGGTCCTCAACAGAGTAGACCTTGGAGCTGTTGGTGCTGCTCTGGGCGACGGCAGCGGTGGCAAAGGCCACGGCGAGGACGGCGAAGGCGCGCATCTTGTGGGTTGTGTGGATGTGGAGAAGGGTGAAGTGGGAGGATGGATGGTCCGGGCGGCGGATGGGCCGATAAAGCTGTAGCGGTAGTGCTCAAAAATGAGGATAGCTTCTGCTTGCTTGCTTGCTCTGCGTCGCGGCGGAGGATGGATGCTGGGGGGATGCGATGCTGGTGATGGTAGAGCAGAGGATGGAGAGTTGGATGGAGAGGAAGAAGAGGAAAAGCCGGGAGGCCCGGGGGGTGTGGGCGAGACGGGTCACGATGTTTAAAAGAGGCAGCGGCGGGGAGCAGGGCAGGCAGGTGCGAGGGCCAAGACGTGCATCGACGGCTACGGCAACCGCGACGCAATCAATCGGGCAAGGGCAGGGAGGGAAGGGGCGGGCAGGCCAGGGCAGGTGGGCAGGAGCTCCGGAAAGGTACCCGCACCACCTTCACTTGCAACACTGAACCTTAGGTGCCCGCCGTGGAGCTTGAACGAGCTGCAGCGGTGTTCCAGCTGTTCCAGCATCCCGTTGATTGTGCTGCATCGCGCTTGGTCACTCGTCGGTCTCGCGCCTGCCTCCGTCAAGCTCGTTTTTCTCGCCAGTGAGGCTAGCGCACACTTGGCAACGTTGGCACCTGCCTCGTCGGCCGGTTTCTTCGTCCCTCCCCCCGCGGGCCCATGCGTACCCATTGGATCGTGACGATGCCTAGCGGGCCTCCAGGAGCGACTTCTCCTAGCACCTACGTGGTTCTTGCCACCTCCACCCGCAACACGAGCCCGTAAGGTGAGGTTTTCCAGTTTTCTCCCCCTTCGCTCCGCAAGCAGCAGAGGGGGACGCGGCAGGAACGGCAGGCAGATGGTGCAGACGGACAATCGGGTGTGGCTGGGGTCCACACTTCTCTTGCACCGTAGATTGAGACACTAGGACGAATGCGGGCTAGCTGCAGCGGCTTCAAAACCCAGGCGGCTGGCGACAGGGGTGGTGGCTTGAGAGGGAGGGTGGCATTTTTGCATCTGTGCCTGAGCATCACTTCTTGGGGCCGAGATGAGCGAGTTGAACAACTTTTGTTTCCTCATCCGTACCATCATTCCACAAGGCTTCCCAGCCCGTTGCATGCGCTCGGCTGCCGCGACATGCTCTCGTCCCGGTCCCCTGGGCTGTCCTACATTCCGCACCCGTCATTCCCCGCGGGCGACCGCTGCCGATGACTGCCATGTGGCAACGGAACGAATCATGTCGGCGTCGCGCATCGTGTGTGGCCTCAGCTTGTGCACTGGAACAGCTTCCCGTGCAGCACAGGGCGAGAGACACCCGCTTCGGCTTCGGCGGTGCACTGGATTGGTGCCAGCAGTGTCACCCACCGTCGGCCACCCTGTCGGCCAGTCCCCCGTCGCCAGGGAATTGCGTCTCATTTCGCTCTTGACGGCCTTTTGTCCACCGCCGAGATATCGATGTTGACGGCGGCCCAATCAGACGCCGCGCGGCATGCCCCGCGCTAGGCTCAACGCGGTGAAATGCGCTTCGCTCGATGACAGTGACACTCTGACGATGCGCGCGCACGCTGTTGCCAGGCAGCCAGGGAGCGACGGGATGGCTGGGCAGGCTGGGGTCGGGTCAGGTCAGAGGTGGTCGCAATCACCACCCCCGTCTCTTGTTGATGAGACGGAGTCGCCCGCACCACTCGCAACGACGCCCGTTTCGGATTTACCTCGCGCGACCAAAGTCGCGGGGGAATTGCTGTCAGAATGAATGTACTTTACCTGGGATTCAAATCTCAGCGACAACTTAGCTGAAGCTTCAAGATCGGATTGAGAGGGGAAGAGGGGAAATATTGGGACGACCTTGATCAGAGCCCTCCCAGCGCATGTCATCAGACCTCGGTTCTCCACAACATCGGTGGGATGATGGCTTTTGGCTTTCGCATTTCCGCAAGCTGCTCCGAGCGTGACCGTGGACGGCGCCATCGGCCGAGTGACGCTCCATCCTGGTACAAATGCAAGCAACGCAACTTGAATCTGGCCAAGCTGGCCAAGCTGGCGGAAGCGAAGTTTTATGGGCCGATGCGCCGGAGAAGGCCCCTCCTGGCCCCGTTACCGGTGTCTCGGCGGCCATTTGCCTTGAAGCCCCACGGCTCGTGAAGTTTTCCCCGCCCAGCATCGTGATCAATCGACTGTCGTCTCCCCATATCTGCTGTCCACTGCCGTGATTCTTTTCCCATTTGATTTGACGATCCAGGGTACGTAGGACAAAATATATTCCTGATCTCCCGAAGAAAGTCTTCCTAAGTAAATCAAGTCCAAATCGCGGGCCAAGTGAGGTGCCTTTTCAATTGCCTGCGGTGAGGCCCCAACTGTCAGCTCGTGTGAGGTGATGGCTTTCGAGAGCATTTGACTGCCTGGAGATCTAACTCCAACCACAACCTGACCGGGTAAGCTAGCCACAGCATGATCTCCCGAAGAAACCACTCTTCAAAACAAGACAATGTTGATCGCCAATGTATGCCCTACTGGAGGCGCCGCTGGGTCCATGAGCGTTCGCCGTTGCCACTTTGCCGGGAGTTCAACATCAGGTGCGAGTTGAAGACCAGGATTGGTGGCCGCTGGTCCATTTGCTGGCGTATCGAGGAGGGAAACGTGTGTCAACTGAGCGTCGCAATCGCCTCGGTCACTTCGACTGTGAGCATCACCCCCCCCCCCCCCCCCACCCAACATATCGGCTGCCAGCGAATAGCCAATCCAGCCAAACATTACGCCGGCTGTCCAGTCTTCGATTCTGAGTCGGGGAGTAGTAGAGAACGGTAGCAGGGATGTCTGAATAGCGTCTCCGCCCGGAGGAGCGTCTCGTCGTCATGTACATCGTATTTTGTGAAATATGGGCGTAATTTTGTCGCAATTAATCCAGGAACGCAGGAATGAACAAAGGAGAGCGCCTGTCACAAGTATTAATATAGTAAAAGCGTCCAGTGTCGATATTTCGTGGTGGAATACGCAGGAAGGACGTCGGACGCCGAAATTCGTAATAACCCAAAAAAAAAGTTTAAAACGTCACGAAGCGCCCTGGTAGCGTAATCGGTAGCGCGCGGTGCTTATGGAATATCAACGGTGATATTACATGCATCTCACTGAGGTTGTGAGTTCGAGTCTCACCCGGGGCATTATTTGCTTTTTTGGCGGGGAAAGAGGGGTTGTTGAGGCGAATTGATGCTAGCACCGGAATCAGCTGTCTTTTCTCTCCATTTTGATAGCAGAACTAGTTTTCATCAAGCCCAGAAAGGCCCTGAGATGCTGTTGAGCTTCATTTCGACATGTCCTCGTAGAAGTGCGACTGGCGATGATTGAAGGCGAAAGGGGCGCAAAGCGTGTGCTCCTCGAGTCAGAAATTGATCCAGCTTGCCTTGTAGTAGGCCGAGGGCAGTTCAGAGTCTCCTCAGATGGCCACAGATGATCAGGCAGTTTTGCCATTTGAGGCGATCATTTGGGCGTCATGTGGCGTGGAAAGATGTCGCGGGCATTCGGGAATGCTTCGTCGATGGGCGCCAAAGGAGGGAGGTGTCGGTCGGGGTGCTCGGTCGCTCTGTCTCCTATGTTAGACGACGATTAAAAACAAGCCTGCAGGGCGAGGACTTACAGAGATTTGGTAATAGGAGGAAGTATCCGTGAGTATCGTGGTTTTGTCAAACTCGTCACTTTGTTGGTGTGTCGTCTCAATCGATGCCGATCCTGGTCAATTTGTCAGTTCTGCAAAACACCTCACGCCCCGACTAAACATGCCAGACCACCTTGCAATCATGGGTATCATTGCGCTCTCCATCAATCGTATAGCAAACAAGGGAACACCCCGCCAAACTCCCTCAATCCAGAATCCCATGCCTACCGATCTCCTTTTCCCAAGCCCATTCCATGTCCGCCCTGAATCCCAGTCAGCCCCAATCCCGTATGCCTTGCCTACCCAGTGTATCCTCCAAAATGCATCGGCAGCACCGTGCCGTCCCCATACATGACCCCCGGGTCCTGTCCATCCATATTATCCATGATGCCTTCGGGTTGTTGCTGCTGCATCATCCCCTGCTGCACTCCCGGCTGCCCAGGTTGTCCCCAGAACATGCCGTCCAGGTCCCACATCCAGTCCTGGTCCATCAGCCCGGCAACGTCGACATCTGTATCCAGGCGAATGGGCGACATGCGGAACTCGACGTCTTCGCCAATCTGCTCCATCAGGCCTGCACCCACAAAGGCCTGCGATGGGTCGCTCCCCGGCATCCCCGCGGCCATGTCTGCCGCACTTCGGACCGTCTCGTACACACGACGCACAACCTCGCGGCTCCTTGTTGCCGTCAGGGACCAGTCGCCCATGGCATCGAGCAGGTCGAGCGTCATCTCAATCTGAGCGCGCCATTGGTCGTTGCGTGAGTCCAGGGGCTGCCACGCCAGGCGCAGCAGCGGGATCATGACGGCCTGGTAGAGGAACCAGGCCGCGTTCCAGCCAAGCATCTGGTTGCGTGTCCACTCGCGCGAGATATCGTGGATCGTCTGTCCGGCCATGTCGGAGCAGGCATCGAGGGAGGCGGTGAAGTCTTCGTCATCGCCGGGGCCAGCGCCGGTGCCGGGCGATGTGTCCATGTCGGCAGACGAGGCGGATGACGGGGCATGCGAGGCTCGGCGGCGCGGGCGTGACGGCACTGGGCGGTGGTTGCTGGCGAGGGTGAGCAGGACGGGTCGATGGAGTAGCATGCGCAAGTTCTGGTAGCGCCACTTGGTGACGCAGCGGGCGATGTAGAGCGGCTCGGCACATGGCTGTGTCGTTCGCAGAAGCCAAGGAAGTCCATCATACCAGGACACGAGCTGGGCGTCCATAGACTGGCGGTCTTCGGTTGAGAGTAAGGGGCTCGCGGCGAGGGTGTCCTGTACTTGAGTGGCGATGCGGCAGAACTTGATGTTTTCGATGATGGGAAGGACGCCGGCGTACTGCGCCGATTCGGCGGCCTAGAAATAGGTCAGTCAGCGGCGTTCAAGATAGGACAAGGGTGCAACTGACCTGGCTCATGCCCAGCTCGGGCGGCCGAATGTTGATACCCGGGCCACGACGGCCAAAAGAGGGCCGCCCCAGAGTGGTCGTCGCCCATGTATCGAGGCAGAAGAGCGACCACCATGTGCGTCGACGGATCTCGGCCGTCATCATATCGGATTCGGAGCTATCCTGGGCCAACGACTCGCGGTGTAGCCCCAGGGCGCTGGCCATGCGCACGGCAGCTCCCAGCAGAGCGTTGGCCATGTTCGGCCGGTTCACGTAGTGGAGGTAGTATCCCCCGATGATGGCAAGAGCTTGCACCGTCTCGACGCGACTGGAGCCAAACGAGTCGAGGGTGAGGTGAGCCATGGCCTGATGATAGTGCTGCTCGTGGTGCAGATCGCTGGATTTCGTAGCAGCCACGCTTCCGATTGCCAGCACAGCATGGAGAAGGGCTAGCCAGGGAGAGTCGGTGCGGTGGCCACGGGAGTAGTCGGCGCGGAAGGTAGCCTCGTCGAGCATGGGGATAAAAGCGTGTACGCGCTTGAAGTAGGCGTCGACGAAGGTCTGCCCGCGCCATGACCAGGGCACCCGGGCGGCTGGTTTTGCGTCGGCAGCCGCTGCGGCGAGCGAGGCACGGCGGAGAGGTGTTACGGAGGGTGCGTTGGTGGTACTTCCAAGGGCTGCGGCGTTCCTGGACGCCAGACCCTGGCGTAATTGCGGCTGCAGCTTGAGCATCACCATGAGCGCGGCCTTGACAGAGGAAGCTCCCAAATAGGACGCGCGGCGGTCCATGGTCAGCGAGAGGGCATTGACGTCGTCCGACTCGACGGGGATGGGCTCATGGTCGCGTCGCTCCTCGTCCCACTCGGAGTCGCGAGTGGGCATTTGCTCGAGCTCGGCAGCGCCTGGATCGGTCTCATGGTCGGCAGGGTCGTCATCGTCGCCGAGCAGCGGGGAGGCGTTGAGAATCGGGGGCGATGGGAGGGCGGCCTCGCCGTCGGCAGCGGTGGGATGTTGCAGCAGCTCGAGCAACTCCTCGCGGGACAGCGGGAGGAGGGAGGACACGTCCTGGTCGGGAAAGAGGCGGCCAAGCACAGAACGGCATTCCTCAAGGGACTGAGACAAGTTCTCGACGACCCTGGGTGGGGTTAGTACTGGACAGGACCTCGGCTTCAAGACACCCACTTTCTAGATGGCACAACGCGAGGGCGGTGCTTGTCGTAGAAGCAGCGCTTGGGTACGCGCGTGGAAATACATTGGCGACACGGGTGCTGGCCGTCGCAGCGGATCTTGCGGCGTTTACACTCGGCGCATGCCTGGGAGATCTTGACGGATCGACCGTCGGCGGTATCGGCCGTGCCGAGAGGCCCTGAGACGCTGGGCTGCGCGCTGCCTTGGACTTGGACTGTGGCGGGCGTGTGAGCGGCATGGCAGCAGGGTTTACATGGGGAAGCACGACATACAGTTGTGGAACATTCCGGCATCAGTCGGCGTGGCGAACGAGGGCGACATTGTTGAGGATGTTGCAGAAGGCGAAGTCGGGACTCGGAGGTACGCCCGCTGTTCTCGGCGGACTGAACTGTGGGTGACAGTGGGTGAGATTAGGAGAGGAATCGGCCGTAGGGGGCTTTTTGATCCGTCCCCATCTTCTGCTGGCGGCACTAGGGTGGCAATTCGGTCGAGAGGAAGCGGGAGAAGGAGAGGGTATGGCTTCACAGCAGCATGTGCCGAGAGGAGGGCGCGGGAAGAGAAGATGAAGAGGAGGCGAGGCGCTATGGATCGGCACAGGACTGGACTGGACTCGGAGGGCCCTGGCTGGCCTGATGAATGGATTGGATCATGCAGGTTGATTAAGGCCCCAGGCCCCAGGCCCAGGGCAGGAGCAAAAAAATTAGGCGTGCCTTCCCCCCTGAACGCCGGATCGGCGCGAGCACGGATTGAGGGGTTCGGGTGGGGAATCCGGGGTACATGTCCGTCGGGCCCTGGGAAGAGGAGAGGATGTGCATCGCGAGTTGGAGACGAGCGGGTGGACTTGCAGGAAAAGGTGGTCAGTCGGGGTAGAGGGGAGGAGGGGAGGAAGGAAGGTGGTGCCTGTGGCGGCGGCGAGGCGCTCGCCTACGTACGCGTACCTCAGTGTGTGTGGTCTGTTGGTGTGTCGAGGCAGGTGCAGGTGCATGTGTACTGTCCGTCTCGAACAGTCCATCTCTGCATGCTCCGAGGTCGAATCATCACACGCCGGGAAGACGGAGCCTCGGGAGAGGCAGCCTCAGCCAGGCCATGACGCTGCAGGAACTGCAGGAAAAAGAGCCCAGAAGGCTGGACGGGACTTCAAAAAACCGCGTGTGCCAGTGGCCCCGCCTCCAACAGCACCTCCAGGGAAGGACCCCGCGGGCGATGGACGGCCGGCCCAGCCGTGCGCTATGCCTGATGGCGACGCGGAGCTCCCCCTCCCGCGGCCAGACCCAGTTAGGCGACACGGCAGTGCCAACGCTCTTGGGCCGGTGGGCCGGCGCCACGGGGGGCATGCGATGAACTGTCGGAGAGAAGGAGGGGAAATGACAGAAAAGAAGAAGAAGAAGAAAAGGTCGGGACCTGTCATGTGTGAGATAGATGGCTCGTTGAAGGTGTTCCTCGTGGCTTTTCGGTCTGCTGCATTCCATCATGTCACGGTTGCATCTCACACCCGTCGGCGTCAGATCATACCTAGGGACTCCGAGTCCAAAGCCATGGCGCGCCGTTTGACTGGCGGAATTACCACATCCCGTCCCCTACTTCTCTGTAGACAATTGTTCAAAACCGGCAGACGGGAACTATAGGCAGGGAGGATTATGTTTAGCACGTTGAAAGAACAGAATGCTTTGATTCTATCGAGTCGGCGTCCCCTGGCGTCCCCTGACATCCCTCCCCTCATCCCTCGAATCTCATCTGGCAGCAGCTGCTCACCAGAATATCGCATCCCAGCCTGAGCGAGTAAACACTGCCCAAAGACCTCTCCAAGGAACGAGAAACCTTGACACACATCCCAGGATTGATTGCCACTCATTAATTTCCCCCAGAACATCCGGCAAAAAGAACCTGAGGAACGTCACGATTCCAACTTGAACCGTGCGGCTGTACTCAACCCTCGCCCAGCCAGCACTGGCG